TTCAAGGCCAGGCTGGATGAGGCCTTGAGCAATCTGATCTAGTGAGGAGGTGTCCCTGCCCGTGGCAGAGAGGGTTGGGACTAGATGATCTGTAAGTTCCATTCCAACCCCTAAAATTGTATGATACTATGATTCTATGACGGTGCACTCACAGCCCAGAACGCTGACCAAATCCTGGCCACTAGGTCAAAGGAGGTGATTCTTCCCTTCTACTCTGCTCGCATGAGACTCCACCTGGAATACTGCATGCAGTTCTGGTGTCCTCAGCGTAAGAAGGACGTGGAACTGTTGGAGCAAGCCTAAAGGAGGGCCTCAGAGTAGGTCAGAGGATTGGAGTATCTCCCCTATGAGGACAGGCTGAGGAAGTTGGGGCTGTTCAGCCTGGAGAAGAGAAGATTGCATGGAGACCTCACAGCAACTTTTCAGTATCTGAAGGGGGCCTGCTGGAAGCCAGCTGCCACCCCAGATCAACAGCATCCAAGACGTTTCCTTTGCTTTCCTGACATGCTCTTACAGGGACAGGGAAGAATGGCTAAAATCAGAGGCCCGGCACACTCAGTGGCATGTAAATGCTCAGAGAGGCACATGGCAGAAAATGAGAGGATTCAGAAGGTCAGAGACCAACATGACAATGTATGGAGCCATCTGAAGATGGTTATTGGATAAAAAAATCTCATCTTAATAATATGCCTCAGAATTAAAATCAGCAGGGGAATGACAGTCAAGCTCTTCTAGCTCAGTAGCACATGAGATGTGCTGGCTACCCCTGTGAGACTCTGATCCAAACTCTACAAATGTCTCAACATTGTTCCCTTGTGTAAACCACAAGGTGTGAAAAAGCGAGGCTAGCTGTGACTGCCATTTGACTTTTTTGCCATGTTGGCTGCTTGTGGTTTTACTGCATAACCACTATGGGCAAGGACACATGCAGCAGAGACAAGGTCTAAAATAGAGCGATGCAGGAGCTCAACAGAGGACAGTTGCCTCACTGAGACCACCCTCCCCCCAAAGTCCACCCAGCACATGTGCAGCTACATAACCAGAAGGCAGGACTATGATCTGGTATTAATATGCACAACAAATCCGCCAGGACTGACTGAAGAAAGGTGGAAAATTCTAGAGATGGGGTAGGGCAAAAATAATAAATAGAGAGCAGACCAATTTTTCACAGGAAGCTTCCCCCACTGCAGGACTCCTTTTGCAAACTCTCCATACTTCTGCTTATCTTTCCCACTTTCTAAACTATCCCTATCCTGTCGCTTGTTGGGACTTGTTATCTCCTGTTGTTAATAAACACAGCACTTAAAGTGACACTGACCTCATTTGTGCCATCATTTGCCACAGGAGTCACTATAACTAACTCCCTCCCACTCCTAATTCGGAATGGGACAACCCCAAAGGGTTTACTCACACCAGACCACTGGCCATGGGGCCTTGTTTGTCATTATATACATCTCTTTCTTCCTCCCCTCTGTAAAATATACATCTGGGAACTAACAGTCTTCCTAGCAGAGTCTATAAAAGTAAACAGGAAAGAACTTTAAATCACAAAGGAGCAAATTCTTGCTTTTTACAAGCAGAGAAATGTCTGCTAACACTCAGTGTCTGCTGTGTCCACTGTGTGAGAAACAGTTTCACAATATGGCTACAGAATATGCACGCTCCAATTTTTACACTGAAATCCACAGTACAATCTAACTGTAATGAACATTCAACTAGTGGACACCTGGAAACAGCCATGGTGATCGTGTGTGGGCAGAGTGCTGATTTTTGAAAATTGCTGGTACAGCATTAAGCCAAAACCACATTATTGCTTTCAATAGCATAACAGTATAAATCAAAGTAGAATCAAGTTACTAAGAGTCAGAAAAATCTGCCTCTACAATCTTCATTAATAAATACTTACTAGCTACAGATACTTGAGAAATTACTTGAAAACAGGCAACAGGACAGACAAAAAACAGCAACAGAAACTATGAAATAATACTTTTCCTAATTTCAAACACAGTACAAATTCACAGCTGGCTTACCACACAGTGACAGTGTGCGTCAGTCATTACCAACTCCACAATATAATTCTATTGCTTCAGTCATAAACACAACGTGATGCTTTGAGCTACTACATTGCTTACAGTCAGATAACCTATTCCTGAATTTTGGGACAGGAAACAAAGCAGTGACTGTTAAACACTCAGCCATTCCTGCAAGCATGCCAGCACACTCCGACGGGGTGGCTAACACATACCGTGATTTATCTGCTATAGAGTTCCTTCCTCACGCAGGATTTGAAAGTAGTGTACCTCTGTATAGGTTTGTAGCCCTGTGGAGCAGAAGATGGAGAAGTGCGCAGATGCAGACAACATGTGAAGGCAGCCAGAGATAAGCATAAGACAACAGTATCATGAAAATACCAAAAAATGGCTTTAAGTGACAAACAGCTGGGAGATAGAGTACAGCATGTGCTAATAACGAAATGATAAACATTCTGCCTAAGTTCCATGTCTTTCAGTTTAAAAAATGGATTTTCAAAGGAAATGGAATCTTCTTTTATTTTTCAAATAAAAAATAAGGAACTAAACGGTAAGCAAATATAAAGCTTTTTTCAAGCTTGTTTTTCAAATAAAAATAAGGAACTAAACAGTAAGCAAATATAAAGCCTTCGATGTCTGAACATTTTAAGTTTATAGTAGTACTCTGACTGACCACTTGGTGGCAGCTTAACATACGAGTTTATTTCATGCTACTAAAACCAAAACAAGATTTCAGCCTATGCTACTAAATCGCAGAAAAACAGAAGTTCCACTTGATAAACTCTTTAAGACATTTATTTTTCCAAAACCTTATCTAAAATATCTTCTGTATCTAAAATTTATTATGTTCCTATAAGGGGTGTTACCTCACCCTCCTCAAGTTTCTAAGTTCATGGCTAAGCTTTGAAGTAAGACAGATCTAGTAGGTACTGACCAAACACAGTTATGCCCTCAAGATTCTGGGCCAACATTTTAGTATAACAACTTTTTAAAAAGTTGAATTGCGAAGTATAAGTTGTCGATTGTAAAATCATTCTTCAAATAATAAGCCAAACTGAAGCTGTTATTTTTGGATGTTTTTAGACTGATGATCAGACACTACATTGACTTGGATGGACATTAATTGTAAAATACTTAACATTAATATCAGCATTTATACCTCACAAACAGTTTCAGATTTCTCATGGCAAAATTTTCTATGTTGCTACAAAATACTGCAGGAGCAGAAACTGTTATAATCTTTTATCTGTATAATGGAACTGACCTAATCTTCATATGGATTTGAAACACAGTTATTGATATAAGAAAAGGTTAGTGGTTTGTTAGTTTTGATTTAGCACAAGACAGTATTTGAGCCCTTCATACTGTAGGAGCAAGAGGGCAAACTTTTACTTATTCTGGACACTCTAAATATGGTGTAAGTTTTAATGTACAGACAATAGGAAGCAATTAATGATGCCTTCCACCGATGTGTTCTGGGAAAAAAGGTTCCTATGTGTTTTCTACCTTTCATTCTAAACCAAGCTTGGAGTGGGTGGGGGGTGTTTGTCAAACTGAAAAGGAGAGTTTTTTCAGAATTTTTACTACTACCCACTCTTGGAAAAATCATGGTTGTGTGATACTTAGGAAAACTTACTGGAAATTGTAATTCCTAAGTTTGGTACTATAACAGTCTTGGAATACTACTGATTAGTGAAGAGAAGGCATTTTTCTGAATAATCTAGCAAGTCTTCTTGAAGGAATATAACTGAATTATAAGAGCAAAACATAATCATCTCCTGCAATCCCAGGAGATATCTAGTATTTTACTAAAATTAGACATATAATTTATGAAAGAGCATGTTATTTCTCTGAATATCTTTGGCTATTCTTTGCAGTTCTTTCACAGACCACTGGAATATTTTAGAGTGGTCTAGGCAATAGAAGGGTACATGCACAAGACTGAACAGTGATATAAACTCTTACGGATTCTAAGTGATTTCTGTCATGCATTTTGTAAAATAGAAACATGTAGTACAATTACAAGGATTACTTAGTAAGCAGACTGTTTTCTGGTTAAATTAACATATGCTGCACACTTAGAATTAGTAAACAATTAAAACATATAGCCAAACATCTTGAAACAGTTATGAAACAATCATCATTCCCACACCATAATAAAAATTGAGGACCAACAAGGAAGTAAGTTTGTTACAAATGCAGAGGTTGTTATCCACATTTTATGCTTGATCATAATATTACAGAAGTAACAAATAAACGTTTAGACTCAACACCACTTCACAGAAAGTTCTAAAACTGTATTTGGGAAGCTAATGAAAATGAACTAAAATTACATTACAGAAATAACATTCTGAAAAGTGAATTTAGGAACCATAATACAGGTTAAGGTTTATAAGTGATAAGGTTGTCAGTAAGAACATGATTTTACTTTTAGTTAAAAATGTTAACACCTGTCATATGAAGAAAATAAAGACTTTTATACACCATACTCTTATTAAATTTTTTTCAGCTCTACAAAATTCCCTTGTACTACACAGGATCTGAAGAGGGCAGCAAGGCCTATGCATTCACCTAAAATGTAAAGCATGGTTTACAAGCTTGCTCCCTATGAATTTTTTCTGCAAGTAATTTCCAGCCCTTTATCTTATTAGAATTGAATATTAGATACAGATGCTAAAGTAGTGGTAAGCAGTAAAGTCAGCTCAGATAACTATACAAGGTAGAATCCTTACCCTAAACCCTCGATTGAGCCTGTCTTTCATAATGCCGATAAATTCTTTGTAACTCAACTGGTCATCTCTGTCAACATCAAAAATCTTGAACACTGTGTTCACCAAATGTGGTGAAAGCTTCACACCCGTGGCTACATACACAGCACGTTTGAATTCATCTGCATAAGGAAAACATCAGAAAAAAATTCCAGAATCTCATTAATTTAATGCTACTTTGTGAAGAACATTATGAAATACAAGTAACTTTTGAGTTTTCACATTTAAACACTCAAAAAATAAGAAAATATGAAAACTACAATTGAATTTCACAGTTCTGAACCAAGTAGTTCTCAACTGATAAAATTTATTAATACTTGATACTTAATTGGTATCAATTGTTTTACACAGAAGATAACAGTTCATATCCTATAGTATGTGCAAGAACAAAATTAGAAAATCCTATTATAATTAAACCTATGTCAGATATATAGCATTTACTTATTTGACACAAAACAGAATCCAGGAAATAAAGTACAGAGAAAATGTGTTCTCAACTGATAAAATTTATTAATACTTGATACTTAATTGGTATCAATTGTTTTACACAGAAGATAACAGTTCATATCCTATAGTATGTGCAAGAACAAAATTAGAAAATCCTATTATAATTAAACCTATGTCAGATATATAGCATTTACTTATTTGACACAAAACAGAATCCAGGAAATAAAGTACAGAGAAAATGTGTCAGACCCATGAAGATGCTACTCGAGGAGAGCACATAAGTCTAACCACTTCACATATTGTTAACCTTGCACTCCCCAAGCACTGAAACCATTTTATTATGGATTTTAGTCAGCACATACATGCCTAGTTCTTTTAGCACCCACTTACTGATTTGTTAAAAAATCTGTCTAATGCCTCTTCGGACCTTCTGACACTGTTTCCTTCTACAACCATTGTAGAAGGTCAGATTCCAGATGCTAAGTGTGTAAAGAAATGTTTTTGTTTGCTCTAATCTGATCTCTTACTGGTGTCATCAAATGCCTCAACTCCTGTACTATTTGATTTACTGAAGACATTGAAACTACAAACTAGGAACTACAAAACATTTTTTCCTTTTTCGTCAGCAGTTCTATATTGCTACCAACAGATTTTTATAAAAATATACTTACCTTGACCTATGGAACGACTTGCGAAATTATACATTTGCATTGCAATTGCAAAGTCTTCTAGGTTGTTCAAGAATTGGAAAAATGATCTAAATTCATCAAATGTGATACCCTAAAAAACAGAAGAACAACATGCACCATAAGAATTATCAGTAGTAATAACAATGGAATAAACAAACCTTGCAGTTACATATCTCTACTTCATCTGAGAACAGACACTACCCATTGAAAAAAAAAGATTTGTAGTAAAAGTCAATAAAGTAAAGAATTGAAGTCTCTTGAAGAATGCAAAATGTCTTTCGTCTTTGCGACTGCAATGGACAGCAATTCTCACCAGAGCAGTCAAAAATACTGTTCCATTGCTTAAGGCAAATTTTAAGAATTCCAGTACTATTACGATATGACAATCAATACTGAGAAGAAAACGTCGAAGTCTGTATGAATATTGGATTATGTTTACTCCTGCAAACTACTGTTATATAAGAGTGTGTGTGCTCACATAAATACATTAAATGAATTAATAAATACATGTTATGATCTACCTTAATCCTGTACTTTGAGGTTAAATTTTTCACATATCCAGATTTAGACACCTAAGTCTCTTCAGCGGATACTCCAAGTATCAAATATTGCAGGGTTTGCCCAGCTTTTAAAAAAACCTTTTGCATTTTGACCAGATTTCAGAATATCTTCTATGAAAGCTTCTCTGAAAGTGTTGTTGTTAAAAGAGTTTATTTTACCTTCTTTCCTTATGACACTTGTTCTGCTTGTCTCTCATCTTAGCTAAAAATCCAAAGACCTGATCAACTATATCTAAATCAATTTTGAAAGAGAACTTAAACTGAGACTTTGAATTAAGCCAGGACTGCTGCCTGTATCTCCTTCCCCATGGCCTGTCAGCCATTCTGAACATGGGATGGCATTCTCTGTCAAACCCTGATCTCCCTGTTCTCCTTTATCATGCCAGGCTATCTTTCTGTTTGCTTTTATTCTTCTATTCTATTTAAATAGTTGCCTTTGAAAATAAACCTGAAGACAACAGAAAGAGCTGTGATCCTTTCTGATCTAACTAAAATATTGATCCATGTCTCTTCTTAAACATAGACAATCATTATGGTATGGTGGAACACAGAAAGCATACTGAAGTAAGTTTGTGGCAGAGAAGATGGCAGAGGTTGGGTGTAAACTCATATGAGATAATAAGTACTACAGAAAATGTGGAAAGTAACATAATATTGTCTTAATAAAAGACTTAAATAGGCCTCAATGCACTTGAGATGTAAGCCCCTGCTTAAGTGCTCCCACCTAAGCTCTAGTGAAGATTTATAAAATGTTTGGAGAGCTTGACCCCTCTACATCATGGATTACTTTTCTCAACAAGCATATTTGTTCTCTGTTTCATCCTTTGCAATTGGGAAGAAACTCTCATAGACACAATCAGAACCAACTCCTCATTTAAATTTTTATCTTAAAAGCTTAGTTTACTACTACCAATACTGTCTTCTTGTTTCATTGCATTTGACACTAATAGTTTATATGTCCAAGTTCCATTCCTCACACTGTATTCAGACAGAAAACTCTCTGGGAGTTGAATAATTTTGTCATGCATTTGTGAGATACCTAGATCAATTAAACTTCAGTCCTCAGCTAGGACCCTCAGGTACTATGGCAAAATAGCAATGATAGAAAACTGCCACCAAAGTCTTGAGCTGACATTTCCAGGTTCACAAATCCCTAATGTGCAGTAATTGGTCTGTAAAGATTCTGAATGTGGGAAATAACTGTAAGAGGACAGGCTACTGTGAAAATCCTGGCTCTTTCCATGTAACTGCAGGAGATGATCATTCTAGATGGAAAGTAGCCCTTGCATAGAAAAGGGTGAGAACTGCTGGTCTACATACAAGGCTTTTTGCAGCTTCTGTTTCCAGTAATGATGAAAACTGCTGCCATAAGTTGATACTGGAGATGAAACAGGGAGATAAAGGAGCTACGCATACAGTCCATGGCTAAGCTGTCCAATATAAATGAAAAAAATACCTGGCTTCATTTAAAGAGTTCTACAAGTCTTGCTGAAATCACCTACAATTATAAATGTTTATTTCCTCTCAAAGAAAAACAGCAAGAAACACAAAAGAAACAGAAGGGCAGACAAAATGACACTCAAAGAGAGCTGGGCATACAGTGTTCTACTATCTCCTTTCCTAAGACCGTATTTTGATCAGCTGGTCAGGGTAATACTGTTTCATATTTGCCATACATTTTGTACTTTGACATAGGATGTTATCTATGTGTAAATATTCCAGAATCTTCCTACTGAAAAATATTTATTTTGCATGTAATAATGTGCTGGTTTTGCTTGGGGCAGATTTAATTTTCTCTACAGTGGCTAGTACAGGACCATGTTTTGGATTTGTGCTGAACACAGTGATGATAATATAGAGATGCTTTTGTTATTGCTGAGCAGAGCTTACACAGGGCCAATGCCTTTGCTGTTTTGTGCACTGCCATGCTGCTGAGGAGACTGGGGGGGGATGGCAAACTGGGAGGAGACACAGCCGTGACAAGTGACCCAAACTGACCAAAGGTATATTCTATAGCATATGACATCATGCTCAATATAAAAAGTGGAAGGAAGAAGGAGGAAGGGGGGAATATTAGGAGTGATGGTGTTTGTCTTCCCAAGGAACCATTACGTGTGATGGGGTCCTGCTCTCCTGGAGACGGCTAAACACCTCCTGCCCATGGGAAGCAGTGAATTAATTCCTTGCTTTGCTTTCCTTGAATGTGCAGGTTTTGCTTTCCTTATTAAGTCGTCTTGATCTCAACCCACAAGTTTTCTAGTTTTTACACTTCTGACTCTCTCCCTGATCCTGCTGGTGGCAGAGTGATTGAGCTGATGCGTGGTGCTTGCTCAAAGGCTGGGGTTAAACCATGACAAAAAGGAAGCTAACTTTTTTATTTATATGGGCAGATTGTATTTTCCTGCAGCAAAGAAAACTCATATAAATGTACCAATGTTGCTAAAAATGCACTGACTTTCTTCAGGAACTGATAGCTGCAGTAATTCAGGATTCCAGCTTAAACGAATCAGTGCTTGGCATCTAGTTAGTAGGAGGAAAACATCCTGTGAGCAGGCAGCATGCCAGCTGAACATTTTAATGTTACTACCATATGGCAAAATGATCTTCATGTTGCTTAAGGGGCTTCTTCATACAGTGCCATAAAAGAGTAACATCATCAACTCTGAGAGTAACTGTCTATTACTTTACAGACTTGATTATTTTTTCTTCTAAATGGAATCCTCTGGTTAGTATTACTATTGCAGCATATCATTGGAATAAACAAGAGAGAACATTTTATAATTTTTAAATTATAATGATATTACAAGTGTAAAAAAAGTGCAAACATATGAACAATGCCTCCATGGCAGTAAGAGGCAAAGTCCCATTCTCAAAAGCCTGTGGCCAGCATAAGAGATGTCACAGGGATTTACTTTTTCACAGTACTGACAGCACATTTACCAAGCCAGTGATACAAAGCTATGGAAAACAGCAGCATCTTCTTTCACATAAGGGAGGTACAGCATATGACACTGCTCCAGTGCCAGGATATTCCCAGAACACAGCATAAGCAAACCTGTAACTGAGTGACACAGCTTTCTACATGAAGTTGTCCTTAACTGATGGTCCCACCAAAGATCAAGAAGAGAAAACTACTGTGGAATATCTGCTATCAGAACAGTGACATTGGAAGACTTAAGAGATGAACTTCAAAGAATACTTCCCTGTGTTCAAATTATACTTCAAATTTTATATATATATAAAATATATATCAAATTTTACTTCATTAACTTCACCTTTGCCATTCAAGGAATTATTCTGTCTATACCTACAGCTGTCATTATTTTTCAGTTACACAAGTGATACTTATATCATTGTTGCTATACAAGCCCCAAAGGGAGTGGGTTTTTTCAGATTTCCACCTGGGAACCATGCAAAAAGAGCTTTATAGAAGTTCTGTTGCACTATCTTGACTCTGAATATTGAAAGCTGTGCAGACCTTTCAGATTAGTTAGAACTGGGCACCTCAGCAGCTAGGTCAGGATCTCAGAAAGGGTCACTGAGCAGGAACTCTGATTCCAATCTTACAAGGTCATCTTATACCTAACCTGGTGCAAAAGAGACAGTCCTGCTCCCCCTTTCCACTCCCCAGCTGTATTTATTTCTGAGTGGCCCTAACTGCTGTACACCACAGGAAGAATCACACTAACAGACACCTGAACAGAAACTTGTTGATTTTTGGAGTGTGTTTCTATCAGGTCAATTGACCAACCTTACTCTGCAGATTGAAATTATAATGTCATTTCTCCAATAAAGAAAATCACACAAACTGTACAAACTGATTTGTTACTTTTCTTCACAAGCTCTGGCTATCAATGCCATTAAAGTACATAGCTAATGAAAGAGATTTCTAGGACAGATTAATCTCATCACCCTCTGTAAACACAAACAGCAGTATATCCAAAACACCTCTTATTTGAAGGGCTACTTATAACATTACACTATTGAATGACACATTGATACAACTATTGAGGCATAGTTGCCACAACATTTCTCTCAGATACACTTCTGACAACACACTTGTTAAACAAATCAATGACCATCTACCTCATGACATTTCCTGTTTATATTGGCATTTCTGTCTCTCTGGTTATTAAAAACCACATACCCAACAATAACTATGTACAAGTGATCCATTATTAAAAACAACAAGCTAAAGGGTGTCAATACTATTTCTGAAGAGGTGCTATTCCAGTGGCAGTGCAAAAAAGAAGCAAACATAAAAAGGGGTTTTTTAATTCCTCATTGCTAGATGGTTTTTGTTTTTTTAAACTGTATTTTTATGTTTTAGCTAAACTCCAAAGATATCACTAGCTATGTCCTATGGAACATAATTCTATGCCATTTACTCTTCTACTTTTCATTCAGCAAGTAATCTGAAACACAAGACAGACAGCTTATGATCAGAATAAAATCCTGGTGCTGAGTAACTCAGTGACAGAAACTCATTCAGTTCAACAAGTCTGTTTTCATCTTAATGACACTAGGACTGCATGCTGTGGCCCACTCCTAAACAATTACCTTTTCTTCAGGAATACTGCAGCGCATGTTTTCCAGGTAACTTGATGTATTTTCCACATTTGTATACCTCAAAAGAATATGGGCAAAGTCTTCCTCACTGATGGTGTTCATCCCATTAGAGTAGGAAAGGAATTCTATCTCTAGAACCTCAGTTTGTAGGTTATCCATAAATCTAAAACACAAACATAAATATGAAGAAATTGTCATACTTTATATTTACACCATATGTCCTTAAAAGACTTGTAGAATATAAGCCAAAAACATTACACAGACTAGTTCTCTTTTTCAACATTGATGGTAAATTGGGTAAATCCCTTACCTATGTTGACACATTTTCTAGTCAATGCAACAATCTTAACACAACAATGAAGCATGTAAGTACAGATTAAAATTACTTAATACTTACATTTCTAATTTAATCCTAGTTTGTGCTGGCTTCATTTTCTTCTTCAGTGTGTGACTGATCTTTATTTGTATATGCTAAACTGAAATTTCCATCATGGTACTAAATTAATTCTCAGAATTGATTCCCCATGTAGTTACTTGCAGCTTGCAATCAAACCTTATTGGATTTTTAACAAGCCAAGTATGATGAGCTCTTGCAGCCTTTCAATCTGACCTTTCAGCTGATTATTATGACATTTCTATAAACTCTTCCCAACTTAACAACCTATTTAGTATATTCGGGACACCAAAACTGGACAAAATATAGAATCAGCTATCTAAAAAAAGGACACAGAATTTCTTATACTATTTGATGTCCTAGTCATACAACTAAGGGTGAAATTAGCTCTTGTCACAGTACTGCACTTCATTAGGTTTGCATTGTTCCACCTCTCAAGCCTGTCAAGGTCCCTCTGGATGTCCCATCCCTTCCCTCCAGCTGTGACTGCCCCACACAGATTGGTGTCATCAGTGAACTTGCTGAGGGTGCACTCAATCCACTGTCCATGTCACTGACAAAGATGTTGAACAGTGTTGGACCCAGCACTGACCCCTGAGGGACACCACTCATCACTGACCTCCACGTGGACAATGAGCCACTGACCACAACTCTCTGCATGTGACTGTCCAGCCAGTTCTTTATCCACTGAGTGGTCCACACATCAAATCCATGTCTCTCCAATTTAGAGACAAGGATGTCATGTGGGACAGTGTCAAATGCTTTACATAAGTCCAGGTAGATGATATCAGTTGCTCTGCCCCCATCCACAAATTCTGTGGCCCCATCATAGAAGGCCACCAAATTCCTCAGGCATGACTTGCCCCTGGTAAAGCCATGTTGGTTATTGCTAAGCACCTCTTTACTTTCTGTGTGCCCAAAGAAGCTTGTTCTAAAGTGTCTGCGCGGTACCTTCACAAAAATCTTTGCATTTAAATACATCCCTAAGAGCAAAGAGGCACACAGAGGGGTGTTTTTTAAGCACTTACAACAGGGAAAAAATAAAAATAATTCAAAACCAAGAAAAAACTTTTTACCAATAAGGACCGGGTTCAGGTAGAACTTCTCCACCCCAAACTATCTATGCAAAGTGCTAATAAAATTTGCAAATGCAGCAGCATTAGCAGAGGACTTTTTATTGTTGGGCCACTTACTATTTTATTTGGCACTTTGTATATATAACACACACAAAGGGAACATAAACTTTATATATATGCCTGTATATGCTATGTGTATAGTAATAAAGACACATTCGTTAGAACAACCATTTAAATATTTTTTACAAGGAATTAATTAAGTTGAGACTCACCTATAAAAATCTTCAAAGTTCAGTTCAGCTTTTCCTTTCTTGCCAAAAAAGTGTATAAGCAGTGTAGTATCTGACAGCGAACTTGAAATATCATCCATACGCTTAAATATTAGAATAAAAAAAATTAAAAGCCATGATTGGATCAGATACAGACGTATAATCTGAGAATGCTATCATCACAGTAGAGCTTTCTATTAAGAGTTTGTATTTTATGTTCATAGTCTTAAAAGAGATTTTAGTATTAAAATCTATTACATTAATTTTGCCATGCAATTTTCACACAAAATGGCATTAGCTGTTAGTTGCATTTAGTAGAAAATATTTAAAACAACAAAATAATATAATGGAAGCTACAATGAAGGGGGGAAAAGCATGAAAAATAAAACCAGAAACTCATGAAAAAAAAAAATTTCGCCAGTTGAGGCAAACCATAAACATAACTCCCTTTCTACACAATCTCCTTTCCCTTCTACTATGCAACTACAAAGAAATTAAAGGATGTTACTTCATATATATTTTACATTTCAAAATTAAGTATGGGATTGTGTTCCAAAACAATTCACATCAGTCAGGCATAGTATATATGATTCTTTTCTGTAAGTGGCAGACAATTACAGTTTAAATTTTATTCCCCAAATGTATTTAAAACACCAGAATTGTAAGAGATTTTGAAATAATGAAGTAATATTTTGACTCATTCTCTTAAGAATGTTCCTCATCTACCAAGTACATGGTCTCTGCATAGGACAAGAATCTTTGAACATGTATTCATACTTTTTCTATAATAAATAACAAAAAACTTTGCAGGCCAGAATCAGAATAAAAAGTCAACTAATCTTGACCATTTGTAATAGCATGAGTTGTAAACAGAAGACATTTACAAACAGAAGTAACTATCATCTTTCTATAGTGATTGCACAACATTCTACTTTTTTAACTACATATTCATTGCTCTTAACTGTTGTGTATATGCATTGATTTTACTTCTTTTGCAAATAAATTCTTGAGGTACTGAACAGCTAGAAGAATAATTCAGTAATATCAGACTCTTAACGAAGCCACGGTATTCCAACATGGCAATGTCCTTCATGTCATTAACATACATCAGCCAACACCTGAAATTTAAAAAGCAATGCATTTAGTCTCCTTGCTGCACCTGCTTAGGGAGAACCTTCTGTCCAAGCTCTCATTTTTCTTACAAAGGCAGTAGACTCTGCCCTTCCTAGGCAAACTACCACCCATCAGGAAGTGTACCTGCTGACTCTACTGATACAGGACCAAATCAAGTGTACAGTACAGAAAACTAGTAAGCATTTGGGAGATGTAACAGTACTCATTTATCACCATAATGACAGATTATAAACCTATGGGGTCTACTATAAATATAGAAAACTGTTTATACAGCTCCATAAAGATCTGCATGTATAAACCTGCAAGCTGCACTCAAGAGTCCTTTAAGTCTGACTTTATTTCATAACTGAAGAGGCTATAAATTTATAACCAGATGGAGAAATTCTAAGTGAAGAAACCAGGAAGAAATTTTAAACAATATGCAATAGTTCAATATCGTGTACCATGAAAATCCATTTCAGATCTACATTCTCTGAAATATACTATATTAATTGCAAACATACATATTAATTTGTAAAAAATGTAAAAAGCAATATCCATTAAGAGTATTTATGTACCAAGAACAAGGGAAAACATGAGGCAATAACAACACAAATCTTTCCTTCAACATCCAAAAATCTAAAGAAATGAGAAAAACTTTTCTGTTCTTTACTATCATCAGTATAGGATTCTCAAGATTGTATTTCATGTACTCTAACTTCCTCTTTATTTCCATATTCTTCTCCAGGGAGAAAAAAGATTACATAATATATATACAGGTAGAGAGATATTTCATGTCCTTCAATTAAGACAACTCTGCTCTTCAAGTGAGCCACCTAATTCAGAAAAGTAATCACTACTGTCTTTTAATACTGCTATTCTCCACTCCAGGACACAATATACTGAAATGCAGATACCCTGATTTCTTATGTCTTTTAAGCAATTAAATCCCTAAGCACATTCAAACAATTACCCTCAAGCACACTGAAAAGATATCAAATGTTAAATTACAGCCTTTCATCTCGCAAAAACATTTCAAAACCTTAGACTTAGGTTGCATTCACCTATATCTAAAGAACCATTTAAAGAAAAACACAATCTGTAAGTCTTTTCACAATTCCCATTTAGTTGCCCTCACTAAATGAAAAAACCACAAACAAAAACCACCAGAAACTCAACCCAATATGCTTCTTAGCAGAATTGCAGGTGACTGAAAACTATTCCTGTGCTCCTTCTGCATTGATAGCATTAAAAAAATTCTCTCCTGTGGTAAGGATGAAACCAAAAGCCTTAATCATTTAAAGCTATTATCTATTGCTCATAATAAAACAAATTTTGTATTTTAGATCAGTGAAAATTAAATGACACCTGTTTCCATATATACAAATATGAGACTCAATTTTTATCAGATATATTTTGCAGTCATTTAAGGGAGAGTAAAATCCTGCTCATTTCTCTTTATCTTTATACTAACTGTACTACAAATACAGGAAAAGAGACAAACAGAAGACAAGTGCTTCAATCACATTATTGGCTCGCTGCATAATAGCAACATCTTTCCCCCTCAATTTTCTACCCTGAAGAACAGTAAATATATTTTATATTCTGCAAAATTAATTTGATTTTGATTAAAGAGGGTTGACTAAAAGTAGGTAACACTCATGAGTGCTGATCCACTTGTAGCAACATATTCTGATAATGAAGTATGTGTATTATGATTTAATAAAAACTTTCTTACTGCAAATTCTTGATTTTGAAATAGTGGTACTAAATCTGCTAATTTCCAGTTTTGTTTAGTAATTTAATAAACCCAAAACCTGAATTCAGTGATAACTGGCATATTCTAACAGGATGGTGCAGTTGCTAAGTTACCAATAGTAGAAACAGTATTGTACACTGCCCTAGAAAGAAACTAGATGTGATCAATAACTTTTCTCCCTAAAGAGACCTTGTAAGTTGATTCCCACAGCAACAAATGTTATTTACTCTCCTTTTTCAACTGACACATAGCATTCTCAAAAGTATATGAAACAACAGATTCCAGTGTCACCTAGCTTTACGCCACCTTCTTACTACAAATGACTAAAATATTTTTCAGATGTAAGATTACCTGGGAGAGATAAGAACATGGATGAAAGCCAGCTGGCTCAAGCTTAACCCAGCAAGATAAAGATGATTACGGTGAGATGTGGGAAATTCTCAGTGGAGCAAATGCAGAACATGATTTTTCTTTGTAAAATGATTTACAAGTGAGCAGACCAGCTTTTTATATGCTTTATAGAGAATATAAATTGATGCTTAACATAGCTGCAGTTGTATTTCAATTACACCGTTGTTACAGGTATTAGTCAGTGTGTGTAGAGATTACTGAACTTAAGTCCATCTATACTTGGGACTGAATTCATGCCAGCTAACTGTAGATTAAGATGATAGTTCATTCAGAGAAAGGTTCCCCAAGCTTCTTAAAAGGTCAATGAAAAGAGCAGCCTTCTCTATGCCTCCCTTAGATGACTAGATATTCTGGGGTTTAAAATTTGGTGGGATAAATAAGAACTAATAGTTCAGGAGCTCATGAACATAAAAGCAAGGAAAGATAGGCTGGGTATACTGCTTTACTGCAAGATTACTAAGTATGTGTTTTTACTATGGATATTGCTATAAAACTCAATTCTGTAATACTACATTTTGTTTGGTTCAAGGGCAAATGAAGACAAGCTGAGAGATATACAGAAAAGGCCTATTTGATACTTGGGAAATGTAGGTTCTACCTTAAGAGAAAAATCAAATACCTTATTTCGCTTGGCCTATGATAATTAAAACTGAGGGTTATAACTGCATTTATAAACACAACCATGGGTAAGAAGATTAATACTAAAGAAGAAAAATCCCTATGAAAATTAAGGTACAACAGGCTGGAGTAAAAGGGACTATGATTAAATTTAACCTGGAAATTAGAAATAAATCCATCAAAGTCCTCAGGTTATTCAATAGCTTCTGCAGAGGAACAGCAGGGACAAAACATGAATTACTTTTAATATGAACCACACATTGCTTACAAACCAACGAAATACTGCTCAAGCCTGGAGGTCTTTTTCGGTGCCTTGTTCTTTTCTCATGACCCTGCTTAGAACACATGGGACTTTGAGACCAGAGTCAATGGGGAGTTGCTGTATGTCCTTTAATGCCACAACCAGCAGAGCAATCACCCTCACTGTATGAGGCAGAGATGAGCCTAAATGACCTAGTTTTCTGACCCTCCAAAATGCTCAATACAAATAAATGTCTTCCTCAATTTTCTGGAAGCAGATCATGAAACAGTAACTACTGGAATTTAAAGCACTATGGAAATTAATCTGACAGCTCAGTGATATTTCTAGACCTCCATAACAATTGTGCAGTATTAAAAAAGATTATGACTAATGTTTTGGTTAAAACATTCCTGGTTTACTCCAACAATTAAAACAATCTTTGCATGATAATTTTTGTGAAGACAGGCTCAGATAACATACGTAAAAAGCACATCAAGGACAGAGAGATTAAAAGCTTAAAGGGCTGCAACTCTCATTAAATTTGTCATACCACTGGACCAAGTCTAAATGACAAAAGTTTCCTGAATTACTTCTCTGTGAAATACTGTCACTCTTAGTGTTAGAAAATGCTTCTCATAGTGAGGATTGAAGCAGACTTGATCTTCCCACTCTTTCAAAAGGTAACTTTGCTTTTACTTGAAAATTAAAATTTTCAATTATTGCACTGCACGGAACCAAATGTATTTCAGCTGAGAACTTTCAGGTTTAAAAAAAAAATAAAATTAAAAGGAAGAGAAGAAACAAAGTGCATAAAATAGGAAAATAATCAGAACAGAAATAAATAAAATAGCAGTCTGTTTATGGACCAGAGACAGAGGTTGTCTTATACCTCCGCAAGGTCTGAAAAGAGTGCTTGGCTTGTACTACGTCTCAAAGTATCCCAGTAGCTTCTGGGGACAAGGTCCTCTCCTTCTGTTTTAAGAACCTGCAGTTTCAAGAGGCACAATTGTTTGAAAAACAAAGAACAATAGAACAACCACTTACAAACTTTAAAATCTTCTGCAATCATGGCTTGGTTCTCTTGCTTCTAAACTGAGAAATTTCAACCCGGTTACGTTACACTTCATAAATTAAAGGAACACTGGTCTAGGACACCTATTTGCTTACTACTCTTAACTTGGCTGTTCCAAAAGTATCAGCAGACTATTGGAGAAAGCATAAAGTGAAAATATTTATTAAAAGTATACATGAAAACACCCACTGAAATTCAGTATTTTGCCACTGTTTTTCTAAAAAATCTGTTTTTAAAAACCCCATTAATTTACATACTTATGAAATTCATTTTGTAACTGGTCAATATATAAACATCACCATACAACTAGTTATATAAAATTAATTTCACCCAATAACCAGGATGACCTCTTTGCACCAATAAAGAAAGGCAAAAGCAAAGCCTAATAAGTTCAACTGTAGCATACTTGCTGGGAATACACTATGCACATCTGCTGATCAAATTTACCTTGTAATGTGAATGACAACACCTCATTCTGTCATGCATATAATTATCTATTTTAAGTATTCACTGAATTTGTTCCATTACTGGAGATTTACTTTAGCCAATGGGATTAGTATTTCTGGGCATGCACATTTTATTTTCCTTCCATGCATCTCATGATAATTCTCATGTTCTGGTTGGCATTCAGCCAGTGAAAGTGCTCATGCGACACATGCTGGAGTAGTCTTAGACACAAATGCAGCAAGCACCAGAATATGACTTGAAAGAATTAACCTATGCAAATGAAAATACAAAAATACTTAACCCATTTAAAACACCACTGTATGCTTTCTATGGCTTATAGACCTCAATGCTTTTCAAAAAATAGAAATGTTTTGTAAGATGAAGTGAGAAGGGTCCAGCACAGCATGTTGGACTATCCTGGACATTTTAAGGTTGCACCTCCTTGGTCCTGAGTTATCTTCAACTCCTCAGGACATCAAGGATAACTGAAAAGGCTTGCTACACTTTTTGTTTAAATAGGAGAAACAGAAACCCAAAATACCATTTTTTTGGGGGTGGGGGGATTTTTGCATACTGTGAATTCCTATACATCCGAGTTTCTTTTGTGTGGAGATCTCAATTCAGACAGTAAAAGGGCAGAAAAGAATGGTGCACACTCAGCATCATCTTCATAAAACGTCTGGACATGGATGGAGTCTACAAGGAGATCTTTTTACTAAAGCTTAAAAATTGTTCTATGAGTAGAATAGCTAATTAATTTGGGTTCAGAACCTGCACCTTTTCATTCAACAGACTTCCTTCCTGCATATAGTCCAAATTATATGTGCCAACTTGACAGGAAATAAACCTGTGCATTCCTGTAAATTATATGAAGCAGACTTTTAAATTGGAATTTCACTAGTCATCTGATTCTTCTAGGTTCCATCCCCTCTCTTTGAATATCACAATAATCATACCAAAACAAGCTTAGTTCTTCTACATAAACATCAAATCAATCTTTTTTCAAAAATGGTTTTACTTCTGCTGTGATACAAAAATTAGTCATGTCATAATGAAGACATTAAATACCCCAGAAGATCTCTTTCCCACCCCTCAAAATATGACTGAAAAGGAGTTTATTGTCACATACATAATACAATGACTATTTGCAATAAAATCCTATTCTAGCTGGCGCTGAAAGTTCTTTAGAATTTTTTTTGCAAATGAAGCATGAAAATAGAAAAGCTCTCCTCAGGTTTCTTTTTTGGGGAGAACAGAGAGGTGAAGGATTGACTAATTACTACTTCACATTATACACAAGGCAACAAGTCAGCTGAATCAAATGACTCATGCAGGATGACTTAATTTACATGCATCAATTAAAAACAAGTCTATAATTTATTAAAATATGTTTCACCCTTTCCCTTAAAAATACTGTTTCCTCTATTTTACATAAATAAGGAGAGCAACCTTTCCTCCTGGTAAGCTTGCCTGTTCAGAATGCATGCAACAAGCATGCACCATCTTCTATGCAAGTAAAATCCCTCACATTTTACTGATTAGCAGAAGCAATTAACTTCATGAAAAAAATAAGTATAGCAAATTTTCTTGTAGTATATTACTTCATCTCACTGGTGAAGACTGTGTCAATTGAAAAGAATTAGAATACATACACTGTTAGTAGAAGTATGATATCCATAAAGTTGAAGACGCTGACATACAGGAAAAAATGGGCCAAGCCAAGAATCACATGTCAGAATGAAGATAAAAGAAGGGGGGAAAAAAAGAACAGAATAGGTTAAGAGAAGCAAACCTTTATTTTATGTATTATTAGTCTTTTTGTTTGTTTTCAAAATGACAGTGAAAGAAAAAAGTGGTTTATTTTTAATCTCATTCTTCAAAATTTCAGAAGGGAACTACAGATTCACAGAGATTACACTCAGGAGAAATGTGCCATTTTGCAATCTAAGTTTTTCAAAAGCTCTTCCTTTGGCTTTAAGTTTACTCTGTTACAAAAAAGCAGTGTGTGAGAGATTCAATAATTGACCTACAGTTTGGAAAAGCTGAGAAGGACAGGTCTCTCTGGGTGGGAAGACAAGATTCTTTTTTATGCTAGGGGAAAGTATAAAAGGTATTAATTCTTGAAATTCCAATTTCCTATGGTTCCTATGTTTATGTTCCTGTGGACAAAGAACTAAAATAAAGTATCTATGCTCATAAAAGGATAACAGACACTCCATGTATATGTCAAAATGTTTCTTATAATAAGCAGTTTGTTCCATAAATATGCAATTACAATTTTCTGCTGTGGGCTTAACAGAGATTTGTCCCCAATTTTTACTTTGCCAACAGTAAAGTAAATACCTGCTAGTGCTGCCATGCTTCAGACAAACCACCAGACTCATTTAGTTCTGACTTACCTTTCTTATCCCCATAAGAAATGCAAATTTGACATTATGGGAGTATCCAATATTCCCTGTAAATCTATTCAGATTAATATATACAGCTATTTTGTGTTGGTCATAAGCATTATTTAATAAGAAGACTAAATTTTAATATAAAATCTAAGTTCACTTGCAACATTTCATCATCTATTTTAAAATTACTATTTTAATACCAAGCATGATGTTCAGAATGTCTACGCAAACAGCTTCAGTTAGTTATGAAAGCAAGAGTACAGCTTGGTCTTGCCACTAAGATCTCTCACTTACAGACAGGAACACTGGGTCATTACTATTCACTTTTCTCTAGATTTACAGAGTCCAAATGCAATCAATGTCATAATATGTACTACAGTATTTAAACACTTTTTTTCCTTCATATTGACCACTTTTTCTGTAACTGCAGTTTAGGCTAAATATTGCTTTTTTTTCTACATGTAAAGTTATGCATATTCTTTTAACAACATGAATTTACTGTGTGAAATATATACTCCCACAATTTTGTCCCATATCAAAGAAAGCAAACCAACTACCAGATTTACTTACCAGCATTGCACGTTTTTCTTCATCTCCTCTTCTTTCTCTCTTCTCATTTTTTTTCCTGAAGATTTCTTGGAGCTAAAAACCAAACATTTTGAATATATTTAGTATTCAGGCTATTTCATATGCATAAGAACCACTCATCATGAGGAACATTACAAACAGTATTAAAATGTAGCTCTTTACTATAATAGCAGTGTTTCTATGATGCTTTATTGTTTATACTTCTGCCTTCATATTCTGTGATTTCAACCATCACACAGAAATGAAAAAGGAATTTTTATTTTATTCCAGGAAGTAAGTTTAATAATGCTACTTGGGAGCACAATACTAAGAACATCCTATTTAGCTTTACGTTTTAGCCAAACTGGGCCATTTAAAAAGAAGGAGTTCTAGCCTTTTTTTCACCACCTCAAGGCATATCCTTTCTTGTTGGGTACTAATTAGTACCTGTGTGGCTATGTAGTCAGCTGGATCAATCTTTTTTTCATATTGTTAGTTTCCAAACAGATCAGGTCTTACTCCTGCTGGCCCAAGACAGGGGTAGAAATATCTGCTGGGGGTGAAACATTCCCCTTCAGCAGCAACAAACTACTGCTCAAGAGTAATTTATTAAGTACCCTTTCTTTTTTAAAGTCAGTTCAAAGAATACATTCAGGTCTTGTAAAATACCCCTTTCACAACTATCTCAACATTAGGAGCTTTAAACATGACTTCTGAGAAAACCTCAAATACAAGATTTCAAACGTACAGATCCTTGAGCATAAAAGTCTTCAGAGTAAGAACTGGTTTGTACTTATCTTTATTTGTAAGCATCTGTTTTATTTAAGTATTTTTGTTTATAGTAATACCTATTAAGATTCCCAAACCATAAGAAAAAAGACATCACAGTGTTTACTCTTCAGAGCAAGAGTGAACAGTATTAATGATGATACCATCTAGATGTCAGTCAGTGAACTTCAGTTTTAGAAAAACTGCATGCAAAATTATTGTACTGTCACTTGCAACATTTGTTATCCTCTAAGTGGGCTGGAAAAAGAACAAACCCTGTTGCTGACAAATTTGTTGTGTCTACAATATGGTATTTTGAGAGCCAAACACCATGGCATATAGACACAATCATGTCAGTCCTTCCAAAGACAGATTTTATCTCCCAGAAGTCGGATAAACCTGATCCTGTCACAGCAAGCACACAGAGCTCCCCAGAGATCAGAATGTGAAAGGCAAATATAGACCAGAATATTTTGTGTGTCACTGTACCTATTTTGGTGTATGAGATCAATTTACAGACCTTAGTATGCTTTTTTCTTATTTTTTTTTTTTTCAAACCTACACAGATTACTGTAATTTATGCTGACAAGGAGAATCAAGATAGGACATTTCACTGGATGGCCTAGAGTATTACACAGTTCACAACCCAGAACTATGGAAAGAAGAAAGTTAAACGAAGACAGAAAAAGTAGAAAGAAAATCCCTTGTGAAAAGTGAAGTGACAAGCCATCAAGCAGGAGAGAAGAGGGGCAGTAACTGAAAAACCCTGAGTTCAGTAAAAAGCAATGCATCCTTGGATGTATTTCCCCTGCACCGAGGCAAAGGGAGTAGGATTCTGTTGCATGCATCTTTAAAGGACTGGCTAAACTTCTGGAAATGGATCTTTTGTTCATAAAGGGTGCTATAGAATACCAGTGAGTAAAAAAGTCAATGCAGAAAGGATCTAGGAGTACTTTCATAGGAACATTGTTTGAAACAGGATAAGAAGACTGACTGCTGAAAGCAGCAAAAAGATCTCCTGTAACAAGGGAACACAATCCCTCTGTTCCCTGACCTCACCCCTATGACATAAGTAAAGAGCAAAGCACACACACCGTGGAATTATTTTACAAAAACACTAAAGCCGTTATCAGAAAAATTAAGTATTTTTCATACCCTTCCCCTCAAGAATCACACAGTATGTGACCCTTACACAAAGCTCTTCAAACTCTATTTATTTACAAAACCGAACAGCTTTAACTATACTTCCAATTTTATGACAGCTGCCTGTAATCAGTGGATAAATACTTTGCAAATGCTGGATATAATTCAAATGGCAACTTTTGAACAGTCTCCAGGCACACAGGATATGATGCATCATACTTACTCAACATGAATAGCAAGGTGAGTACAGATGCCAAATCCATGTTCTGGAGCCAGCTCTATCACAGAGGCAGCATCACTGAATCAACTTCTATTTTCACAGTTACTTTTATTTACACAAACATTATCTGTGTCCCTACCTATTTTTTCTCTTATCCTCTTCAGTTCTAACACACTGATTTGTAGGTTTTGACTTAATTTTTGAAGTGTCACTGACACCCTTATGAAGCAGAGTTACGCTCAGGTTTAATCTGTACAAATTTGTTAAGCAGAGTTATAGGTGGAGGACACTATATGCTATGTTTGAAAATTCTTATTTCTTTCACCTATCCACCAAGTCTGCTAATAGAAAAAGAGGAGGAAATTTTTGCCACGGACCATCACAGAGAACAAATACATAGCAGAATATGAAGGATGACTATAAAACCCTAGTTAGAAAGATGCAATATCCATAATTAAATGTTGTCCTTGCTTCCCACCTTGTGTGTTTATTTTATTTCACTTTTAGCATCAGTTTCTGAAACACTTTTCCTTTCATTTAGATGTTGCAATGGAAGCCCTTTTCTCAAAAACAAACAAAAAAAAGTTGCCAGCCTATTCTCTTTTTTTCCCCCTTCTTCCTCTATTTTTATTTTTGCCAATTAATCCAGTGTTTGCTGGTTTGTTCCTTCAACTGAAGGAGATGGTTACCAGGAATTATCACACACAAGGACACGTACATTTAGTACCACAACACAAAGAAACATGCCACAATTTGCAAGTGGTGTCACCTTCCAAAATAAATGACACTTGATCTGCTTGAGCTATGTCACCAGAAAACAAGCCCCCAGACCTCAGATCTCACTTCCCTGAAAAGGAGAACTGGGGGTGGTTCAGTGTGCTGAGGACAGTTTCTTTCACATTTCTGTTTTCTCTAGGTTAGCACAGCTTATCTGAATCTATTATGAAACTGCACACATGAAATTAGGGTGTCTGTTTTAAATAAATTGAGGTCTGATACTTAAGCACATTCCATGGGTCTGTTTTGTTTTTTATATTTCTGTTCCATCTTTTTTTCAGTAAGGCAGTGGGCTTTTTCTCAGGTGTATTTACTGTATTTATAAGCTCAACTACACAAAACTGTATGAAGATAAAATTTATGTCTTCTGCGACTATCTTTTTCACAAACATCTGATTCAATTCTTATAAATATTTTATTCATCATCTGTACTTGTTCAGTAGAAAATAAATCTGCAGAAGACTCTCTATACCACTAACCACAAATTTTTAAATGTTAATTTCTACAGAAATGTCAGAACTTATGTTTGCCATAACTGAGTGCTTCAGTGTAATCCCAGGTAACTGCTGCATATGGACATGACCAATTCAGAAATCTCTGCTTTATGATGCAGTTTGTTCATGTAAAGCCATGTAGCCACTGTGAAATCAGAAGCCCTAACCTTGAGAGGGCAATCTCCTGCATTTCCTTTCTTTGTGAAATTATTAACAACTGACATTCATTTAGAATGGCATTAATTATTCCTCCCATTTCTTTTAAAATCAGAAAATAAATGAAATGAATATAAATTTGAAATAGCCCTCCTGTTAGTGCAGACATCATTCCCCTAAACTTGGTGGACCCTACCATCTGAAGGCTTATGAAGTATTCAAATTTTAAGATGCAATTATCAGATTTATCATGATCAAAATGAAAATGCAGCTGACGATTTAAGATTTTTGAAGATTTTCTCTCCAGTGCTAAATTCCACTTCATTTACAAATCTCAATGACATGTGAAATGAGCTTACTTTTCTTTCAAAGTCTGGGCTTTTTCGAACTGTTTAAATTTCTAACCAGAAGAAAAAGAAGCTCTCTGCTTAAATAATTAAGAAGAAGAACTTACAGAACTGCTTTTTCCAAGTCAGAAACAGAGTACAGCTCTAGTTTAAAAACACTGTAATTCAAATTCACAACGTAACAAAACCTTAGATGCAACAAAAGTACAGCCAAGTTCTAGATGTCCTGCCAACTGTTCTATAGCACGTGGAAATTATTCAGCTCAAAATCGGTTCTTCTATCAGAAATCTTCTCTTTTTCGAAAAAAAAATAAATCACTGAACCCCAGCTTAGCAAATTGCTTCAGTATATGGATTTCAGGAGCTGAGCTAGATATAAGTACAGTATGTTTTATTTAATTACAAATCTTGTCCAAAACAGATGATAGTTCCACATAACAGTCAATATTTTCAGGTCACTTGCAATTATCAGCAGAATGAATGGCAAAGTGAAGTGATCTCTTAGGAAAAGATTCTTTTCCTAGTCCCCTCAGTGATAAAGCAATTAAATAACTCTGCTGACCATTGATACAGCTGTATTACCCTAACAGCCTAACTACCTGTGAATACAGGAGCAAGTAAAAAGACTCAGAATAAAATCTGGAATTAAGCTTCAAAAAATCATTATATACAACATGCCCATGCACTGTGAGAAGGAGCTACTCTTTTCAATTGACATTATAGTAACTATTTATATTAAATAAGGCAAATATCAGTGAAGAATAGCTTGTATTCTCATGACAACTGACATCATCACATCAGTGTCACGATTACATCAAAACCAGAAAATATACTTACCACTAAGAACTCCTTTTTGTCCACCATCTCATTGCCATCAGTATCAAACATGTTGAAAGCAATTCTAAAACCTGCATGTGGCTCTGCCAAAAAAACCCAAACCACTCAGTTATTTTTCTGCTTAAAGAGAAATCAATTCTAAAACTCTAAAAAAATTTTTCCTGCCTCTTTGCAAAAGCCAAACCTTCAACTAATTTAAGTCAGTATATTTATGTACATAGTAAATGCTAATCATAGCATCTGTACAACAGAATTACCTGTGTTATGCAAACAGAACACATGCTCACAAATTCATAGATTAGGGGAAACAGACATCAAAAATAGAACATGAAATATCCAAGAATAATATCTCACTGTAATGGGTGGTTAGGTTGTTAAGAGTGTTGGTTCATCGGTGAAGTGCATTTATGTTACAAAACACAGATTTGTAGAAAATAAATTTTCTGTGTTCTAAAAGACATTTCAAAATATTTGGGAAAAAAAAGGTACAGGATGCAACTTCTGGTCAAAATAAACACTGTGCTGAAAGATGCACAGCATTTTATTGTTTCCATGATTAGAGCCATTGAAACTTGAGATCAGGTTAGAATTTTAAATTATTTCTGAAACATAGGGAGTTTGATGGCAACTGTAAGTGAAGCCTTTAGGCAACATTTTGGTGATAGTCAGTAATTTGCAAGATGAATGAATTATGGCCAAAAGTTAATCCAGGTAACAAAGAAATAATGGAAGAATATCCAGCCATCCAGCAGTTGGAGAACTAAGGGTCTACGGTCAAGTTCTTGCTCTGACTCATAAGAGGAATCCAGACCATGTCTAAAAAACCCCAATTAATCGTTTCCAACAGAAACAACTTAATTACATATAAATAAATAAAAGACAAATAAAACTCTTTGCTTCTTCCCCCAAAAACACCTCTTAAAAATATGAAAACAAGTCTGTATCAAGCTTAGTTTAACTCTAAGCTATTCTACTTCAGTTTTATGGGTGGTAATGAATGATTATTTAATTTTGTTACTGTTTGCTAACATAAATATTTTCTATTTTATCTCATTGATGCTACCCATTAGGCACTAATAGGTGAAACAAACCAGTAATCATGTGCATCTTTCTCTTCTCCCTATATTCAGTGTCCCTTATGAACATCAGCAAATATAGCTAGAAATTTTGTAGGAATTTCAAACAAGAAAATAAATCTAAGGTTTTAATTGGGATTTAGCTGAAGTGTATGGCTCAGCTTCCTCAACAGTCAGTAAAAGATATTCTAGATGATAAAGCATTTAAATAAAACATAACAGATGATTTCAGTAGGACAAGAGAGGTTCAAATGGACGTAGAGATGTACAGTGTAGTTTTTTCTGTATTTTGCTATGCAGGGGTGGGGAAGAGTACGGTAATGTACAACACATTCAAATTTTAGAAATTTGTAAGGAATCTTTTAGGTATTTTTCTCCAAAAATACTTACTTGTTAAAATACATAAGAGGAATAAATATTCTGTGTATGATATCACACCTGAAGACAAAAAAAAAAAAGTTATGACATATTAAGTTTCACCTTCTCTTCACATCATAAACTTGAAAACATTAAACCTATGCCTAAGGAGATTTTTTGTACATGTGCATATGCATAATCATACTTGTGTGCAGGTGACTGTATTCAACCTGGTCAGTGAGTTATTTGTCTAAAATATTGATCTATGATGTG